AGGGGGGGGTTTAGATGGACTCTGGGGTGTATATTGGAGCGGGGAGCGAAGCACGTATGGCAATGCCCGGAGTGCTAGGGTGTTGTTCCCAGGATCAAATAATCACTGTAATCAAGTTTCTTTACCTTGATTGAAATTTGACCAGATTTACTTTTTGTGATCGTGTTACAATTTCTCTGTCCATTTCCTCGTGTCATATTATTAGAGTTCTTCTAATGTATTTGATTTTTCGTACGGTACTTGTTTCAGTTGTGTGTTGTTACTTGGATATCAAATTTTAATGAGTTCTGGTTTCTGGAAATCTTTATAACTTTTGTTACGCCTTACGCCGTTTTGTACTATCGTATCCATACGACGTGGAAAACTCTGAGCCACCACTTTCAAAGAGGAAATTTACCCGTTAATCAGATCCGTACCCTGTGCATAGCAGTCTGTCAAAATGATTTTTTGAGAAATACTTAAAGTTTCAAAGAGATCTTCGCACAAGAAGTTTTCTAAAATGTGAAGAATACAACACTGGGGGTACAATGACCCTGGGGCGTACCGATAAGGTTAAGTTAAACGTGTTCACTTTCATTGGTCTAGATTTTTGGGTGAGATGGTTTACAATAATGACCCCTATGTGTATGTGACAGACAGTCGTGAAACACTTTTTATGAATTTGCTGTTGTTGATTTTTCAGCCGCACTGTCTTCTCTCGTAAGCAGCGTCGTCCATTTTTGGTTCGCCTTGCGACTAAAAGACAGATTCAGCTGCAATTTGAGCTCATGAGTCTTGGGTGGATTAATTGCGAGATGTGTCTCTTTGGCCCCCATCGATCTATTTCTTTCTTGGTCTTCCCTTTACCTTAAAGCCATGAAACCTTATACTGCAGGCCTCTGAGGCTGGCTGTTGTGTGTGGCCCCGTTTTCATACTCAGTACATTTCCAAACCACCTTAGATCTATGTGTTGTCTCCCGGTGTATTTCATGCTAAATTCGACGCCCACTTGTAGTCTGGTGTCTTCGTTTCTTTGTCTGTCTCTTTAGTAGTAGTAGTAGTAGTAGTAGTAGTAGTAGTAGTAGTAGTAGTAGTAGTATGAAGTACGGCTGTGGTCAGGCTTGTCGCCTATCAGCCGTTCGCTGCTTTCGTTGCTTTCGTTGCTTATTCCTTCCTGCACGTTGTTTTCACACTCTGGTATCTGTAGGTTAGTGCTCATGGGACATGGATCTGGCAGGTTCATAGAGAATTTATGTGCCTTCCAGACCATGTCAATCCTATTCTTGAAAGCATTCAAGGATGGTGCAGACACCACATTTTGCGGTAGGGAATTCCAAGCGTTAACTGTGCGTACGCTGAAGAAGTTTTGGCGGACTGCTGTTTTCACATGCTTGTTTTTTTTCAATTTTAGACTGTGTCCCCTGGTGTTAGAGAGTGAAGATCGTGGGGTAAAATATCTCCCGTTAGGCCTACATAGTAAATTTCTGTTAAATACTTGTAACATTCAATCATGTCGCCTTTAGAGGGTGAGATTACACTCATGCTAATGCATGAAAAGATCCAATAAGTGTAAGTTCTGGTTTCTGTAACAATATCAGGACGGAACATTTCCTGGTTCTAACATTAATTCTGTCGCGACGCGTAGCCTAGATCAAAGATAATTCTAATGTGAGTGCATAGCAAAGAGAGCTCTCCCTTCCTTTCAATTTCCTTCCTGTGCAGTGAAGAATTTAAAAATTCGAAGCGCAACTCTTTAAATTTTAAACGGAGTGCCATCAAAACTTGTTTCGCGTTTGCGTCGAGCATTGTTTTCATTTTTGTGTTGTTATGGCTGGCGAGTTTACAGGAAGTTGCGTCATCGCCGTACGTCACTCTATTTATTTTACGTCACCGTTAGCAACGCCTTGAGAAACATCTTGTCAGGAAGGAGGCAAAAAGAGATAACTTTTTATCCCATCAAAAGAACACAGGGAGACTGCTTCTGGGGCCCTCTTTAGATTCCTCCATATTCCTTTCTGCAGGGCTTTGAGGTTTGCTTCGCGCTGAACCACCAACATGCGTGAATGCATCTCTATCCATTTGGGCCAAGCTGGCGTGCAGATTGGAAACTCATGCTGGGAACTGTACTGTTTAGAACATATGATACAGCCTGATGGCTTGCTCATCCCAGAGGAGGCGGAAGGAGGCCCCATGGATGATTCATTCAACACATTCTTTAACGAAATTGGAGATGGCAAGTATACACCTCGTTCAGTATTTGTTGATCTCGAACCTAATGTCATTGATCAAGTGAGGTCGGGTGACTATCGTAAACTGTTCCATCCTGAACAACTGATTAGCGGCAAAGAAGACGCAGCAAACAACTATGCACGAGGACACTACACTGTCGGTAAGGAAATCTTAGATTCTGTTATCGACCAAATCCGGAGGCTCACTGACAACTGCGAGGGTCTGCAAGGCTTTTTCGTTTTCCATAGCTTCGGTGGTGGAACTGGTTCCGGTTTCACGTCCCTGCTAATGGAGAGACTGTCTGCTGACTACGGTAAGAAGTCGAAGTTAGAGTTCGCCGTTTACCCAGCCCCACAAATTTCCAATGCCGTTGTGGAGCCCTATAACTCCATCCTCACTACTCACACCACCCTGGAGCACTCAGACTGCGCTTTTATGGTGGACAATGAGGCTATCTACGACATCTGCCGTCGTAACCTAGGGATTGAACGCCCCAGCTACACAAACCTCAACCGTCTGGTGAGCCAGGTCGTGTCATCCGTCACAACGTCTCTGCGTTTCGAAGGCGCCATGAACGTGGATCTGAACGAATTCCAGACAAACTTGGTGCCTTACCCTCGCATCCACTTCCCCCTGGCGACCTATGCCCCAGTCATCTCGGCCGACAAAGCCTGCCATGAGCGCACCACTGTCTGCGACATGGCCAACTCGTGCTTCCAGCCCGCCAACCAGATGGTCAAATGTGACCCACGCTGCGGGAGGTTAGTAGATCTTGAATATGCAAACGTATCTAGATCTAGATCTAGATCGAGATCTAGTATCGTATCGTATCGTAAAAACTACTATCTTAGATGACCGGGGCGGAAGGAGAGGGTTTGTCTAGGGGATTTGTGCGAAAATTGGGATTGCTTTGGGTCTAGTGTGTGATCTGTGAGATTTAGATCTACATACGAATAGGAAATGGGTTTGGCTACAAGTTGCCAGGGAGAGGGGGGGGGTCTTTAGAATTCGATCATTTTGCAATTCTATTGGACCCGTCTCACATACAACCATAAACCAGTGATTTTCTTACCTTTTGTGTGGTTTTGATTAAATTTATTTTGTGTGTGTGTGTGGGGGGGGGGGGTGATATGAACGAATTTGACCAATACAATTACCTTAATTGACCTCATTACTTTTGAATCTATCTGTGGGCGTGGGGTGGGAGGCAGCGATCTACTAGGGATAAGATCTAGATTTAGATCTAGATCTAGATCTGCTCTTAACAAAATGTGATCATTATCGTTGACTTCTCGCCCCCCCCCCCCCCTTTCCAATCTATCTTCCATGTCTTGCCTCCCTCGTCTATTCGTATATAACTCCCAAGTAACACCTGTAGTCTTCGACCCTTCTATGACCTTATTGTGCTGCAAGTGCTGTAAAACTCTTACTTAAACTAAACTAACGTCACCAACATGCACCTGTCAGGTACATGGCGTGCTGCATGCTGTTCCGTGGTGACGTAGTGCCCAAAGACGTGAACTCCGCCATCGCTTCCATCAAGGCCAAGAGGAACATCCAGTTCGTGGACTGGTGCCCGACCGGCTTCAAGGTCAGCCTCGATTCCTACTTTTCCACAGTGACCGAAAGAAAAGAAAATATATCTAAAAAATGTAGATTCTCTAGATCTGTGTGTTTCTAAGTCCTCATCGACACATTTTAGATCATAATATAGGAGGCGGGTTTGCGACCATGCCTGTAAGGGCCAACCCATTCTGAGAGGGATTCCCAATATCCCAGCAGACAGACCGAGATACTCGATTCGATAAAAATTCGCCCCACTCTTGCATCGGACTTGGGTCCCCTGCGTGCGACAGTGAAGCCCCTAACCGCTACACCACAGAGGCTGTTGGAGAGAGTCCGTCTCCTTTCACCTCTGACAGATTTATAAAAGCCCAAGTGTATCACGAGGTGGAGGAATCAGGTGCTCGTCATTTTTGGGGGCATGTGGAGTTATTGGTATCATCTGACAGTTGAGGTATTTAATGCTTTGCTTTCGATTTTAAAAATATCCAGTTATCTTGAATACAAGTCGAGATGTTTACAATTGAAGGAGGTAGGGGTTTAGAGGTAAAATTAGTGGAAAATGGCTGCAAAGTTAAGTTATTTCCTTAGCTTGAGAGTCCATGTTAACAGAAAATGTACATGTTTCGTGCCTTTTATCAACACTTCCAGTTTTTATCCACTCAGAAGTGTGCTCTTTAATGGACATGGAAAGTGTTGAGCCAAAAACAAAAATTCATTAAACATTCCCAAGCATGCGGGAAAACGGCAGTTTCTTCAGTTTCATTATTTTGACGAGTGCCTGATTTCACCACGATGCCTCACAAATGTCTGTCGGTCCTATCAGCCAATGGTTAGGACGGTGGGTGATGGGGAGATCTGTTTGTGGCGCTTACATTACTAAACTGTGTCGATAGTGCTGTAAAATGTGTACTAAGACAAACAATCACCGGTCGAGTTTGCTTCAGAGTATTGTTTACTTCCGTTATAATGGCAATTAGGCCTAGATCTACATGTATTTCTCCTTCTCATTTGTCTTGCAAAATTATTATACTAATGCAATGCTCTTGCAGGTGGTTGGAGCGTGTCACTGGTAGGTTCTTATCCCCCCCAACCCCCCCCCCCCCCCCTGTTGTGTCTGTCTCTATGTCTTGCTTTTACACACCACTTTTGTATCGATGTATTTCTCTTCAATCCCCCCACCTCACCCCCTTTTTTAAGGAACATTTTTCCTTGTCAAATAATATGTTACCATCTAAATCTTTATAGGATTTTCTTTCATACAATACTCTAATGCTTTTTTTGTAAACCTCCCCCCCCCCCCCCCTTTTTTTTCCAAAATAAAACACAATTTTTAAAAATTGTGACACCTTTAATCCTCGGCACTTAGTTGACCTAATTGTCTTGCAAATGCCGTAAAACTCTTACTAGAACTTAATTTTTTATTTTTTTTATTTCCAGGTTGGCATCAACTACCAGCCTCCCACCACTGTACCCGGCGGGGACCTGGCCAAAGTGAACCGTGCAGTGTGTATGTTGAGCAACACCACCGCCATAGGCGAGGCTTGGTCCAGGCTGGACCATAAGTTTGACCTCATGTACGCCAAGAGAGCCTTCGTACACTGGTGAGTACACACACACATACACACACACACACACACACACGCGCACACACACACGCACACACACACACACACACACACACACACACACACACACACACACACACACTGGTAAGAACCTCAGCAGTGCCCGCTCTGCACGAGGAAATAGCGCTGATATATATTGGCTTTTTTCTGTTGGATTTTGTTTTGTCTTTTAAGTGGGGGGGGGGGGGGGTGCAGGAGGTTGTTTTGATCTGGTTAGCTTTCTGGAGAAACGAAAGAGAGTTTCAAATCAAAGACTGCAGCGTCCTCTGAACCAATGCGCGGACTTCCACAGACACATTTTAGGCCGAGTGAACTATCTTGTTATGTACGATCTTTGGTTACACACAGCACACAGCTGGTGTGTACATAAATTCCAACTGACCCTCTGGTGGCAAGTTGTCAGTCTTTGATACAAACCAATCCCACCAAGTCAAGTGACGAAATTCGCTACCTACGCATTGCAAATTTCAATCTGAAATGTTTTATCGTTTGGGCTTACTAAAGACCATGAGGATAGAAACCAAATGTTCTGTCTGCTGTATCAAAATTGTAAGAGTAAGATTATTCGGGAGTCGTTATCAAGATAATATTCAAAGAATTACTTTCGGAAAAGCTTGACATGTTGTGAAACTCAATATATTTTTACGTCAATTTTTTTTAAACTAGGTATTGAGCAGATAGAACTTTGTACTTCAAATGTAGCGATGTGCTTGCTTGTAAAAAGTTATCAAACTCCGGTGTCAATATGAATACCATATATGGTCTTCTTCTATAGCATTCTTCATCCTTCGTGTTCGATTCTCTTTGTGTCCTTTTTTTCCTTCACTCCCTCAATGAACCGGTCTTATATTCCCTTGTTCTCCAAATGCAACAGTCTGTTTCCCTCGTTCTCTCCATGAAACAGTCTTTTTCCCTTTATTCTCAAAATGAAACAGTCCTTTTACCCTTCTTCTCTCAATGAAACAGTCCTTTTACCCTTCTTCTCTCAATGAAACAGACCTTTTACCCTTTTTCTCTCAATGAAACAGTCCTTTTACCCCTTGTTTTCTCAATGAAACAGTCCTTTTACCCCTTGTTTTCTCAATGAAACAGTCCTTTTACCCCTTGTTTTCTCAATGAAACAGACCTTTTGCTCCCTTGAAAAGGTCGTTTTTTCCGTTGTTCTCTCAATGAAACGGTCATTCATTTCTTGTCCCCGTACTTTCCCCAGGTATGTTGGCGAGGGCATGGAAGAAGGAGAGTTCTCCGAGGCGCGAGAGGATTTGGCCGCTCTGGAGAAAGACTACGAGGAGGTTGGACTCAACTCGGCAGAAAGCGGCGACGAGGAAGACCTGGAAGAATATTAACTCAGACCAGAAAGTGTGTCAAGGTCAGGCTCTGATCGCAGACAACAATGAAGCTCCCGGGCAGCAAAATGACGGAAATCCGAACAGAGACAGTTTCGAATCGTTCACTCATATGAGGGTTTGTTTGGGGGGGGGGGGGGGTTAATTGAAAAAATGCTCCCACCATACAGGTAAAGAGATGGAATCAACATTATGTACATTTGGAAATGTCCGGGCATAGTGCAGAGGAAAAACGATCCATTTCCTATCTTGCAACAACACCACACGATTGTGTTCCCCTTGTGTTCAAGAATTGTCTGGTCTGCATTACAGCCAAGGATGACAACCACATGGAACGAGCACAGAATCGAAACTCCAGACTTTACTCACGTCATTACAATGAAAAGAAACATCTTAACCCTCAAACATCCAAATTAAAACCTTGTTCATTTTTCCCTCCAAAATCAATTAATGTTATGGGAGATCCTGAACAGTGAACTGAAACATATCCTGAGCAGTGAAGTGAAACTTTACACTAAGAATAATGATCTTGTCACTTTCTATCGAAATACTGTTTCCGTTTCTGTTGAACCCTCTACACTACGATCCTTTGATACTTGTTTCTAAACAATATTGGAGAGGTTTATTATTTGCCATCATTTCCACATTGGCATCAGGAACATCATTCAATGCCAACATTTTCGAGAGCAGTCGGTGAATAATGATAACAATAATATACATCATGTAACGACCATCATAAATATAACCTGTGCACGTAACATCCAGCAACAAAATATGTACGTTGATGCCTCACTAACATGAAGCCTCCTTTGAATAAACATCATCAGGTTTATATATTCTAGACATGGCTCTGTCTTGTTTTAACAAATTTTTAAATCTAGATTTGAAAGGCTTGTTTGTTTGTGTGTGTATTTGTTTGTTTGACTGATTGTTTGTTAGTTTGACTGATTGTTTGTTAGTTTGACTGATTGTTTGTTTGTTTGTTTGTTTTTCACTGCGCTTCACGGCTCTGTGGGTGGTTGGTGGGTGTTCTGGTGGTGTTTGCTTCCTCTTTCCTATAGAACATCTGTCATCCTTCTCTCTCTCTCTCTCTCTCTCTCTCTCTCTCTCTCTCTTTCTCTCTCTCTCTCTCTCTCTCTCTCTCTCTCTTTCTTCTTTTCTGCGTATTTCGCTCTCTAGTCTCCAGTAATACTGCAGATCTTCAGCACTTATAACGTATGACTTGTTTGTGTTGCAAGTGCCGTCACATTTTGACTAAAACTAACTTAAACTTAAACTAATCAGGGTTGAGGTGGACCACTTTCTAATAAATGGTCTAAACTGTTTTGATGGGGACACAAATATTTCCAGCCTCCGAAGCAAGACCTGTTAGCCGTCCCATCTACAACTGTCACATGGACGGGAACTCGTAACAAACAAGAAATAAGCAGTCGTCATTATTTGAATAATTATTATATTGGGGTTTTGGGAGGGGGGGTTAATTTGTAAGTGTTTTGCGGCGCTAGCAACTGCATAAGGTCATATGAGCGTGCGGGACACATTTTCATTTGGTAGTGGTAGTGAAATTTTGAATTTTGCCTGGGTGGCGGCCGAAGCCTACTCTAATCGGTTTTACACCACCAAGGGATCTTTTACGTGCGCAACTTCCACGCGAGACCTCCGAGCTTTTTCGCCCTTGACTTTGAAGGTTAGGTGTAGATCGATCCTACCAGAAGATCAGGGCTGTGGCTGAAAGACAGCAGTAAGTAGGAGCCAAGGAGTAGCAGTAAAAAGGCTGCAGAAAGAGTCAGGAGCCCAGAGGAGGGGGCCAAAGTAGGTGGGGGGTGGGAGGGGCTGAAAATGGAGACGAAATAAGACGACAGAACATTGTTATAGAGCAGGAAAGGATGTGAACGGATACTATTTTAGAGAAGAAATGTTTCTTCACTATCAATATTCGAACCTGGGACGTATTGAATGAGAGGCGAACACCTTAACCCCTAGGCCACGAGGACCCACATTGTTGTTATTTGTAACAACAGTAGTAGTAATAATAGCAATTATAATAGCTTGTCCGCCAATGCCTCAGCGGGTGGTTGGTGGGTGTTCTGGTGTGGTTTGCACGTGCTTTCCTATCACTATCAGAGATCTATCGTCCTGATCTCCCCTCCTCCTCCTCCTTTTTTTTGTATCAGTTACTATCTTGTAACGCTTCTAACCTTCAGCCCTTTTATGACCTTACTGTGTTGCAAGTGCCGTAAAACTCTTACTAAAAAAACTTTAATGTATGACGACTACCAATCAATGCGTCTGCAGAGGAGAACATTTCTTAAGAAAATAAACGAAATGAGAGTAAGATTACTTGTGGCTTCTGCTATGGCCAGTGAGTATGAGGCCATATTTTATTATCTGGTAGTAGTGGTAGTGGTAGAGGAGCGTTTACCACTTTTGTCATTTAATAAAAGCTCCATTTCCACTCGTGGATGTGCGTATATAGCTTGCAGGCTTCTCTCTTGGCTCCAGTATATCTACTTTGTTAAGGGGGGGGGGGGGGTTGTTTTAGTAGAGGTTTTAAGGCGCTAGCAACTGCATAAGGCCAAAGAGTGGATGTCAACAGAGAAGTCCTTGCAGGGAATCGGGCTTACTCTGCTCACCTCTCTAGCTTCACCAGCACAAAGTCTGCTTCGACTATCAAGGCACCCCGGAAATAGCGGGCCACAAGAGTGTGAGCGACAAACATACAATTACAAAAGAAGTAGAGGAAAAATGACGATAGTAAGGATTAGGAAAGAAAAAGCAGCAGTTCCCTGTTGCAGTTCAGGCACAGTTATGAGCATGACATCGATGAATCAGCCTATTTACAATTCTACTGTGTATAAGGACAGGTTAATGTCCCCCCTTTGGCAATGGACTAAGACACTTCAGTCAATAGCACCGCCCCCGGGGGGGTCTAATTTGAGAAGCTTCATAACTTTATAAGACTCAAAAGAACAATGACAAAAACGAGGAACACTTATGTAGTTTCTATAATCGTTTTATTTTTTTTCTCGGCGTGATAATACCAAAGAGTGTGCCTTAAGATGGGCCACTCCTGCCTTTATTAATATAAACAAAGATTTTTTCAAAATTCCAACAGCAGCATTAAATTCTATTGGAGAAATGGAACAAAACGTTCTCATTAAAACCAGTGGTTTCTTCGACTTCAGAGTGCAGAAATGGTGGAGAGAGTGACTTATCTTAGCCACACTCTTTGATAAAATACGGACATTTCAACACAGCACATCTTCAATAAATAAACTGCCATGTCAACACTACAATAAATTACAATGCAATTCAAAATCTAAACAAGGACAGAGCAATCAATAATGAGCGGGCTACTGACTTTCCTTCCACTTCAACTGGTAAAAGTAAAGTACACCCCCCCCCCTACCCCAACCCACCCCACATTCACCCCTCCCCCATCCCCATACCCCCCTCCTTTCAAGTCTTTTCGAAACACGAGGATTACAGCTTGCTGTTTCATGTTCCTGGAAGTCACAACAGTGTAACTGTAACTATCAACAACTCACTGAGGAGGCTCAACGAGTGACCCAGATGCTGCGCACTAGGTCAAGCGCTTCGATATTGGTGGTTAAGGGGTGAGAGGGGGGGGGCTGTACTTTACTTTTATTCCAAACCTTAACACAGACTAGACAAGGAATGTGGTTAAATTGAACACTGGGATTATATTATATGGTGTGCAAACAGGGGGGGGGGGGTTGGGGCGTCTCAGATCGAGTGATGCATAGTTAGATATGGTTAAGGTGTGGAGACGGGCGTGTATGTCTTTGTGTGTGTGTGTGTGTGTGTGTGTGTGTGTGTGTGTGTGTGTGTGTGTGTGTGTGAGAGAGAGAGAGAGAGAGAGAGAGAGAGAGAGAGAGAGAAATGAAAGAAGAAGATGGAGAGAGGAGAGAGAGTGCGAGCGAGAGAGAGAGAGGGGAGAGAGAGAAAGAGAGAGAGAGAGAAAGAGAGAGAGAGAGAGCGAGAGTGGGGGAGAGAAAGAGAGAGTAAGCTACAAGTAGAAGTATGAGTATCTGTGTTTGGGGTGTGTGCGTGTGTGGATGTGTTACAATTCTCAGTTTCCAAGTGTTTTTTAAAGATCCAGAGCAAGGAAAACCCTCACGTGCGCTAACATGGACAACAACGTGACGCACAAAGGCCTACCACAGCTAAATACAGCAAAACAGCATTTTTCCCCCTTGGACTTGGACCCATGTTGTAATTAATTTCGTAAATTACCAGTCATCAAGGGTTAACTGGATGCAAGAAATTTTTTTAAAATCTAAAACACGTCGTTTTTATCTGGTTTTGCATATAATATACTCGTATGTTAGGAAAAGATCATGTCAGTATAGCCAAAATAAAATGATATCAATAGCAAAAAAGCCATTTTGATGGCCTTTCTTTTTTTCTGACCTGTCATGAAAATCAGACGCACTCACACAGAAAACAGACAAATAAACGTTGTTTACAGTAAGGGGCAACACGCCAAAAAGCTCAACCAAGGCAGTGATTTCTACACATCACTCTAGCACACCACCAGATACGCTAAGCCACTTGGTATCACAACATTTGCTAGGTGGCTACCCTGGAATCACAAAGCTCTGTCTGCTCAGTAGGCTACCTAGTTTAGTTTAGTTTAGTATGGGGTTTTACGGCGCTCGCAACTGCATAAGGTTATATGAGCGCGCGAAACACAAGTTGGGGTTTTTTTTATACGTGGTTTACTGCACGGCTATGTAAGGGTTATTTGATCTTAAAAGATAAAATATTAAAAATTTGGTGTAGATATATAATTTCAGACTAAAACAACTTTCATAAAAACATTTTAATTGTTCAATTTTGTTCTATACTACAATTTTCCATAAAGGCCAATGGCCTTCATAAAATTCAAAATTCTGCTGGGACCAACGACGGAAAAAATGTCTTGATGTTTTGAGAAATTTGACGCTTTAAAAAAATGTTTAGTTTCACAACATGTCAAGCTCTTTCGAAAACAATTCTTTGAATTTCTTGAGAATAACTCCGGGTGACTCCGGATAACCGTAGCCCTACAATTCTGACAGAGTGTCACAACAGAGCAGATAGAACATTTTGGTTTCTGACCTCATGGTCTTGGTAACTCAAAACGGCCAAAAATGTCAGTCAGACAGAACTTTGTAATTCTGAGGGTAGCGAATAGGTAATGCTTTACAACTATGTCAAAATTATACAATTATTATTTCACATACGAAGATTCTCTGGTCTTGTACATGAACCTTCTACTGCTGCTACTCAATATTTCCGTTTTGTTTTTCTTTACGAGCTGAGCTTATAGAAAATCGTGTTCTTGCCCACGGTCAAGAGGAAAAATAATAAAGAAAAACACATTATATTTCAGCTCTTTTATCTATTTTGCTTTGAAACTAGATATAGATCTTCATCTTATTCAATTAATTTTTTTTTTATTTTGAGGTTAGCTTTTGTTGGGGGGGGGGAGGGTTGTTGTTTTTGTTTTGTTTTGTTTTTGGTGGGTGGGGGGGGGGGGGGGGGGAGGCCCCCAAATAAAAATCCGCCCCCCCCCCCCAAAAAAAACCCCCCCAAATTTTTTTTTTAAAAAACCAAAACCCCAAAAAAAAAAAAAAAAAGTTTTTTTTTTCTCAAAAAAAAAACTGTTTTTTGTTTTTTTTCCTTTGTGTCGGGACCCCCAACTCTTTAAAAAAAAAAAGACCGTGTGGGTACAAAAAAAAAAAATATTTTTTTTTGAGAAAAAAAAACCCCGGGGGTGGGGGGTTTGGGTGTTTTTTTTTTAAAAAAAAATTTGGGGGGGTTTGTGGGGGGGGG